GGAGGAGATTCATCGTTACATGGATGCAGCAGCAGCATTATTCTTAATGGAGAAATAGGTATGTTTATAAATTATGAACGAGGTCATAGTTTTTGGATCCTTCCAGTTGATAATCCGCAATTAAATGATTAAAAACATTTTAAAACGTAATGCGATGGCCGTGCGAGCGAAACGAGCGCAGCAAATGTAAAATCCAATTACACTAATTCAACAATGCGGCACGGAATATCGTGTGTGTGCAATAATCCACGGATGCCAGAATATAATAATAATACAAAAGAAACGGGCGCACACGACAGAAAGGAGCTGATAGACAATCAGAAATCCATTAATGAGGCGATTATTGCAATCGACTGGAAACGCCTGTCTCTGCTTATAAAATATTCGAAAGCAACAAATCGATCAATCAAAGGCTTCCTATAAAAGTAAAAAAAAAATAACAAAATACAAACTTCGTTCATTACAGTTAGATCAAAAAAAATCAAAAAAAAATGTTAGTTCGTATTATATATAAGAAAACTGTTGCAATGTAAATTAGAGAGTAAATTATGTTAGTAGGAAATCAGCATCGTCAATTTTATTTATGTCAATTCGGTTTCGTGTAAAACAAACAAACAGTTGAAACGAAATTTTGACTTTTGTTTTCTAAATTTAGTTGGGGGGTTGCTTTTCAGAAAATCGGGACAACCACACACATTTACCTGCAGCACTTTTATCGTGCACGTTGGTATAATCTGTATCGACGAGGAGCTCCGGTATATTACCATCATTGCAATAATCTCTGTCCGCACAGCAGATTCTAGCGTAGTCCCTGCTCGGTCCAGAGTCACACCAGATCGGGTGCTCCGGTGGGAAAAATCTCTCTCGATCCAAGCATCTGCGAGGATTTTAAATTTGCGCATGGAAAATTTCAGAAAATCAGTGGAAATCACAAATAAGTAAAAAAAAAGAAACAAAAACAAGAACATAAAAATAAACAAAAGTGAAAGAGAATTAAAAAATATATATATAAAAGTGTCCGGAATTGACCTTTCCAATATGCGCGCGTCAGTTTTCCACGTACGAACGTAATTTCCAATTGGGATGGGAATTGCTTTTTTTAGTAGAAGAGCGGTGTATTAGATGTATAAGGTTCGGGTGCTTTTGGATAATTTTGATGTTTTCTTTATTATTATTTTTTGACGTGGGAAGTAATTTAGACTGGCTACCAATGTAGAGAGACAGAGAGAAAATAATGTATATATTTTTTTTTGTATCTGTGTGTACATTAAAGATAACACTGTAATAACAATTAGAGTTTATATAATATATTTATGTGTATCACAAAGGGATGCTTATTATATTAATCTTCTCACCTGTATGAATGCTTAATTGTTCCAGTTTTTGTTAACTCCGTTGTTGTAAAACAATACCCATCCGTCTGGCACGTGTAATTGCTGGTATGGCAAATTTCACATTTGCATTTCAAACCTTCTACAACTGAAACAAAATTTTAAAAAAATAATCATTAGTCAAATATTCATATTATTATAAATTCAATTATATTAAAATTAATCAAGGAAACGATGCATACATAATGTACTTTAATGTTACAAAAATTCGTTGTTATGGAAATAATGTGTTTATAGGAACTTTTGGTTATATTTAATTAGGTTAAAATGAATATGGAAAACTATTTATAATGGTGTGTATCCTCGATGCGCCTAAATAAATCATAAATATGTATGGTTGGTTGTCATAGAAACAAAGTTTTCTTTTTATGAATCAAACCCCGAAACAATGATCGAAACGAAAGTTAACAACCTACTACCTCGCAATATATAAAATATTAAAACTTATTATTTCAATGAAAATGTATATGACAGATTTCACAATAGTTGTACACATTTGATGAGATTTTTAATGATAATATCATCTATATAATGTAATGATTCCTAAATAATAGAATCATTTAAATAATTTAACCCTGATGGTATTATTAAGTACTACAAAGAGACGCGAAACAGACCTAAATACTTGTTGATACTTTAATGTAATCTTTCTATTGTGAGCACAAACCCACATTCAAGTAAAACTTGTCTTTGTAAAGGTTATTTTTTGTATGCTTTAACGAAAAGAAACATTGTACAATAGAATACTATGAAATAAGTTTATACAATAATATTGTTACTAAATATATATATGTTTTTGTAATCTAAATCACTATAATTCACCTATACCTATACGATTTAAGCTTAAAATTACAGGACTTTATCAAAAAGTGCCACATATTGAAAATATTACTGAAATTTAATACAAATTTAATTTTAATATGTTTTAAAAGAAACCCAAAGAATTTTTTGGATTAATTTGAAAGATAATCTTGATTTTTATTACTATTAAATACAATGAGCAAAATGTTACACAGTTTAAGTATTTCTTTGAAAAGTATTTGCTAGTGCGTAGATACTACTTGTCAAGTAATGAGTACGTAATATGTATTTGGCAACTTGAATGAGTACTTGTGACACGTGTACTATAAGGATATGTAACTGTCATCGAACCCTAACTTTTACATTTAACCATTGGCGGAACTACAATGTCTATATCTTGAGATAATAAAAGTAACTGATGTCTAGAGCCCACGACTTTCTTAATGTGGCCCACAGAAACCTACACTACACCACCCATCGTCATCAATTTTTTAACTGTTTTTTTTTTTCATTTCAAATTAAGGGGACCTCATTTTGCCTGGTATCATTAAAGTATAATATTTTGCAGGGAGGACAAAGATTTGAAGTTGCGCCACTGCATTTAACTAAAAATTGTTAATTATTCTTGTATTTCGTAATACTTTAAAATTGTAAAGATCGTTACACTTTACGTTTCATGCTCACTAGTTTTAATCATAATTATATGCAAATGAAAACGCGTATGCATTCTCACCACCAACATATTATGTAAATCGTACAAAGACAAGTTTTGTTCTGACCCATTTCCGTAGGGAACAAAGGCCGATAGCCTTCTGCTTCTTTGCGTTATTTAAAGAAAATATTAGTTACCCGAGTTGCGATAGAAGCGCATTGCATAAATCGAAAAGTACGTCATTGGAAAATTTGAGTAAATAAGAAAATAAATAAACAGATGCAAGATTAATCTCAAAAAACGACACGGATGACGTCCACATGATTACGAGTATGTCATGGAAAGTGTTTGGATGGGTGATCAGCATCCTTCGCCAATGCTATTTTAGTAAAACGATAACAAAATCTTAACATTACATAAGTAATACAAATAATTGAGAAATAAACTTGCTATTGCATATCTATAGTATGTATTTGGTGGGTGATCGATTAACGAACAAAATCCGTTCAAAGAAGATGTTCGTTATCCGAATTGTTCGTTAACCGTTTATAGTTTTAAGAAGAAGCTTAAGCGGTTATTTGTTTGTAACTGAACACGCATTGTAATTATTAATTAAATTTTAATCATTTAATCCGTGGACAAAACAAAAGTGAAACAAAATGACACAAATTACTTTGATTCTATTTTTTATATATAAAAATATGTTATTATTCACTTAAATACCTAAAATATTTAATGAGTAATGCACGAACAAAATATACAATAAAATGCAAGATTGTGCAAGATGTTGTAATGCGTTACGTATACGAAAATTGAAAATGAAATGAATTTAATTTTTCTGCCCTCATTAGTTTTACGAGACACAATTGGACACATTTTCCCTGATGATGAATGCCGGTTCGTCCGTACAGCTGATCCCTCTGGCACGCAAGTACTTTAAGTTTAATCGGGTAACTAGTCATAAGTTTATAAATAAATTAAATTATGTCAGCGTTCTTCCTGTAGGGTCAACAGCCCCAGATGTGTTACGTTCTAGGCCTAATAACACCACCATCACATCTAATCACTATTTATAGTCGGTATGTTATTTGGAACGGACAAATTAACAGAACCATTGGGTTTCCGAAATATTTACAATAAAATGCATCATCACGTGGGCGAATAAAAATTGGGTTTAATTTTATTCCGGTGTATATTTAAAATATTGTAAACAAGAGGGAACGTCGAACCAGCGTAGAAAATAGAATAAACAAATTGATGTTTATCGATGGAAGAGCTTTTGAACAAACTTGGAACGAAATAAGATATTATTTTAAACTTTGTTCAATCCAAATAGTAATCAAGTACATTCAACCGTCTTATAACACGATTAATTGGTAAGAAAACCGTGTTCTATAGAAATTGTGTATAAGAAACTCAGATTAATTCACTTCAATCAAATTGAAATTTATCAACATTTTCGTCTACCAATGCATTTGAGATAAATGTATCAATGAATACCATCAATTCATCTTCATTTAAACTTTATATTCTAAAGTCTCTTCACGAATCTGAATTCATGTTATTTTAACCACAGTTATACCATCTTTAGACAATAGTTTTAGTAATGGAAAGATTAATTCAACTGAAATAAATTATAATCATCTTATTGATGTATATTTCTAAATTCTAGAGGATTCTACAAAAATTGGACAACATCTGAAAAGTTTGTTTCTCAATCTATAATTTATAAAATTTATTCTGATTTTAATTCTCTACTGAGAATTAGTATTTATCAATCATAAAATTATAGGTAACATCATAATGTACAAATAGGTGTACTTCAAGCTTCTACAGGTAGCAATGCAGACATTAACAAGTTAATATTATTAATTTCATGTTCAGGAAACGAAATACCAATATTTAAATTAACAAGACTTTTTGTTTTGTCAATTGATGGACTAGGTCAATTTTCTGTTCCATGTCGCACTATTATCCAAAATTAAATAGATTCCTTCCAAAATTTTCATTTCTGATTGAAAAACTTCATTCTTAGGGGATCGACGAAATAAGTTTCACTCTTCGGATTTTAGTTATAATTGGTAAAACATCCTCTTTTTGAGTCAAAATAAAATTACCAGTATTTCTTATCTTATCGTTCCGGTAACCGTATTGACAGGAAAAACCGGTTAACCGTTTACCGGTAATGGAACCCCTAGTTATAACAGCGTAAAAAGATTCGCATTATGAAAGAGTTAACTGTAATACATACGAATTCCCGGACTTACGAACAAATTTCTAACTTGTTACAAGGAGATAAATAGTGATAAAAAATAACTGTCCAAACAAAAAATGATAATTTCTTTAATACAATATATATACTATTTGTTTTGTTGTATTTGTTTCTTTTGTCGTTTTTGATTAAATCATTGTGATGTCTACATTGAAAAGTATTTATAAATAAGTATTTTGTTTATTTTAATCTATTTTTTCAAATTTAACATATATATAAGTAAAAACCATGATAAAGTGAAGTGAGATAAGTATATTTTTTTAAATTCCTCCGACTTACAAACAAATTTGACTTACGAACAACCCTTTGGAACGAAACTTGTTCGTAAGTCGGGAGATACCTGTATATTTGTTTAGGTAATCCAAAAAAATATTCAATGGACAATGAAAGTGTTCAAAAAATGGACGAGTATTCATATGTAGTTGACTATGCAAACCCGGTGCCAACTATAGAATATCTTGTCTAATAATATATAAACATACGTAAAATTTAAATATAATATTGTTTCCATCAACATTTCCATAAGAAATTACTTCTTCCAGCGTTTGTAATAGTAAATAATAACACTCATCAATGTTAATATTCGTTAATGATTTAATTATTTAACATACTTTTATTGTGTATCAAAAACGTACATGTAATAACTTGTGAACGGACTTAACAATTACAATTTACGTTATTAGTTTAACTTTACCAGGTAATAGTATGTGCACACACCAAAATATATCTATAAAAAAAACATGATGGTCTAACGAGCCAAACTGCGTTAATAATACGTTTGTTTCGAATCTGCATCTTTATTTTTTTTCTTCTCTGCGATGCACGACTATTTCTGTTGCGCAGAAATCCGATATGCCTATATGGAACGAAGATATTTTAAATGATTACACGACTGAAATCAATTTATGGCGAAATAATTACGTGTAGGTGTTTTGCACGAACCGAAAGGAGAAAACTTGAAAGGTTTTCGGTATTATTTACCTACCGAGAGGACAGAAGAGGTGAATAGGAGAAGTAAGGACACAGTCAAAAAAAAAAGAAAGACCGCAGAACATGCTTTTAATAACACATTGTTTCTTGCTTGGCTCGTGTTACCCGAGCAATCGGGATCCATTCAACTCGAAAAACGGATTCAATTACATACATTAAACTGTGAATAATATGTATTTAATTCTATGCAAATGAACTTCATTCAACTTGGACGAAGTTCGAAAATGATAATTATAAATGTTTGAACCCCATAATTAGATGGAATAGCGATTGTATTTAAATTTATGGATTTACAAAAAAAAATATATTTGGATTTAATTTAGATTAGAGCAGTGCTTCCCAAACGGCGCAAATATGTAGAACGATACCTCGTATAGTGCGTATAATCCGACTGTTTGATGTCTATGTTTAGTACTCACACAGAGCAAAGTCTACTATATAATACTGACATATTAAAATAATTTATCATCTTATTAAACTGAAATTGGAACTCAAAATAGTAATTTGGCTATTTCGAAATCACATAATCTATTGTTAATGGCTCGCTGAAAACACAACTTTCTCTGACATAAACAGAGAGTCAAACCGAAATTAATTTCGTTCCGGTTTACGGTTACGTTCCAAGTAAATGTTTATCGATCCAGATTCGGTTTCGGTTCGTCTAAAAATGTTGATTCAGTTCCGGTTAAAATTAAAATTTAAAATCGAGTCCAATATCAAATTTTGATTTAATTTTATTTACCAAATTCCTTACTATTGTTTACAATTATAAAATTGAAAATGAAACAAAAGAAATAAAAATTAATTATTGACTAGTTTAACACATGTACTTTGTAATGTTTCTTCAGTCATATTTACAGTAACATTCTTGTTTAATCACTTTCATTTGAGTTTGTTCTAATGTTAGTTGCACAAGCCCGACAATGTTAAAAAATTATTAATTTATTGGAAAAATAAATAAATTGAACCGAAATTAACCGTAGTTAAAATTTCGATCCGGTTTTTCAATTGAGCAATTTTTCGTTCTGGTTACAGTTAAAAATTCCGGTTAATTCCGGTTTTCGGTTCGTTTCCGGTTCGACTCTCTGGACATAAGACAAATTGTCGTAAATTGTTTACAATCCATCAATTGATCAATTTTTAAACAAAAAAAATCACTGTTATCACATAATATTAAATATAACGAAAAGACAAGATTTGTAATCAAAACAAGTTATTATTGTACTAAATTATTCATTTGTTATATTCATCCAAGTAATTATAATATTAGTTGAAATATTCTGAACTAATCGTGTATTTGCATAGAAATTGCAATTTAATTCATTAAAAATCTAATAATAAAAAAACTAACGACTTTCCTAAGAAATAACACAACATACGTGATTGGCATGCATTATACGTGAATCATACGTTTAAAGCCACCTATTCAACGTATCTTAATCTCAATAATACTAAAAATATTACTAAATATCTTTGTATTTCAGCAATGAACGTGTTTACAAATATATAAGTTCAATTTGGGAAATATATATTCTTATAACAATGCTACCTTTTAATGAGCAATTACAAGAATGTGAAGTAATTAAAGAAACGGATTTGTTAATCTAGTTAGTTAGTGTATGGTAACTTTTGTCCAATTAAAAAGTAAAAAGCATTCGATTAGAATGCACAATCAAAACCGGTAATGGTCGGTCGTTGTTTCCGTTTATAATGGGCCCATAACATTATAAACCGAGAGAACGACACGACCGGCCATCAATTAGAATTTATTTTGATGTTACCTCATAATTCCAAGTAATGAATAACCTTAGAAAATACTTTAGTTCACCAACCAGTTTATCCAGTATTATAATTAAGATTTATAAGAAAGTTGAAAATACGCTTCGAGTAATTGAATTTAACGCATTATAAAGCAAACGAGTGACGGTCATCAATAATACTTTATATTTCCTAACAAATAATAATCTTATAAAATACTATAGTTCATCAACAAGTTTATCTAATATTACAATTAATATTTAAAGAAAAAATAAAAATGGTAATCTCATAGTTTAAAAAAAAAAACTTAATTAGATTGATTTAATACATCATAAACCAAAATGGTTTGTTGATATTTAATAATTCCTAGTATTAAATAAGTACTTGAGTTAATCAACAAGTTTATAAGTAGAATTGCAATCATTTAAAGATAGTTTATAACGTCACATTGAATAAATGAAATATTTTAGTTTAGAAAACATATAATTAGATAATAATGATTTGATCAAATGGATTTTATGTAATAAACGTTTACGTTGGATTAATAATATCAAAGCAACCTAGACTTTGTACAGGAATTCTAATTAGTTTCTATCCTGTGTTTACTTATGATAATCAAGTATTGTGCTATTAATTGTATGACTAAAAGACAAAGATTATAATGAAACAAAACCGCGCTTGTAGGTTCCATCATGTGTTTGTTATTGATAATCAAGGATATGAACGCTACAAAATGATGAAATATAAATCAAACTTAGGACTTCTTCAAAGATTGAAGAGAGAACAAAACAGAACTATTGATTGCATCATTAAAAGTGTATATGGAAGTTATTGTTTCATTGAAGCATGGCAGAAATGTTAGTTGAGTCGTGTTTTGCGAGGTGGATACTAAATGATTGCTGTGACCCAAAGAGGAGAGAGTCCCCATAACCTAGTGAGGACCAAAAGTTCGAAGGCGGCGATCATCGATTGAAGTAATTATTGCAAAACACGGCCGAAACGCGAACACCGACCGGTCCTCGTAAAGAAGTAGAAATTCGAATTGGAATGGACTATCGATTATCTTATCGGGGGGCTTAATCTAATCAGGCGCCTACTCGTGCCCTCATCCCCGGGGCCAATCCAGCAATAATACGCGCATAATTGTTTGCGTAATTTAGCATACAATGATTTGGCATAAATTTCGAGAGCCCGGGCGAACGTAAGAACGAACGTCAACAGAAAACCAGCTCGAAGAGCATTAATTATCGTCGTTTGTTTATGTAACTAAGTGTACGTAGCTGGGAGCGACGGTGGAAAATTGTTATACGCTATTGGTGGAAACAACAACAATAATGCGGTTCCTTAACCTTGAGTTTGACAGGCGCGAATCGGAGACGAGGGGGAAGGAAAAACTTGTGCATGGCCATGGTTGGAGATGGAATGGTCGGAGAAATCTTGTTGTTGTTATTTGTTTGTTTGATTGCTTGGATGTCGATTGATGTTGTTGGTGATGATGATGATAATACCTACCAATAAATAAGTGGCATAGCCAGAAGAGGGGTAGCAAAGTTATGAGCATTGTTCTTTTCAACATTTTCGTAGCACGGTGAAACACATCAACAACAAAAAAAAAACCCAAACACATGCACGCACGCAATCGCTCGCACCCACAGCACAACTGGACTTATTAAACAACAATAACAATTTTCACGGCGACGTAATGGTCTCGATAATACGCATCATATCATTTGCGTGCACTTGTTTTCCTTGCTTCCTTTTTCTTTTATATTCGGAGAACGCGGATCCGTGGGGCGAAAAGCATGTTGTTCCTTCTTTTCTTTCCTTCTGCTTGTATCTTCTATTCGTGATGTTGTTACAGCATTCGTCTGCCATTAGACGCAGCGCCCGATCGTTTCATAATTAATACGGTTTATTGAACGTCCCATTTGATTACACCGAGAACAGCTTTTGGCAATCACATCTCGCATTTTCCCCACCACTCGGTGCGGTTCTTTCCCACGGTCAATTTCCCCCCGTTGATGACGAAATGCGTGTGCCCAAAACGAGCCCCCGGCCCGCTCCACCGTCCATCCGTCCACAACTCCTATATAATCTAACTCAATCCTGTACGAATCCTTCCGTTCCCTCTGTGCTGCTCTCCTCCGCACACACTATCCTATCCTTTCTTTCTGCTCACGTGCGATACATACACGCACCCCGCACTGCTCTGACAACAGCAAATTGACCCCGGCGGCTCCCTTAGCGTGAGCGGAGATCTTTAATGTTTGCATCCGCCGACTGGCACGTTTTAAAACCAAGAGAAAAATAACATCTAACTGCGTTAAAAAAAATTTACGACTGAGACAAAAATAGCCGCCATGTTAACATTTTTGACAGGACAGATATCGCGGGATCCCCGACAGGTGGCGCGTCAGCGGCGCGACGTTCTTATATGTTTTGTTCTTGCTGCTTTTTTTTTCTCTTTGCAACATTCTGCTAGACTTCCTCGCAGACTTCGGTACTCCTCATCGTTACTCCTATTGTCCCACGTTCGTCAATAACTTTAAACAAACTTACTCATAATTTGTTAATATACATTTCAAGCCTCTATCCTTGAAGTCAATCTTCAAATCCAGTTCTACTAGAAACTTTCTCTTATCCTCCCATGCTATAAAAATTCCTTCTTGAACGATTTATATAGGGAGTACATCTTATGTCCTATAATTAAAAGATTTATAACTTGTTTCAAGTTTCTCTTCCTTGATAACTTTCCAAGGAAAACATTCACTTCTAATTCTTCTTCAACCTACCTATTCGACGCTAAAAGTATTTACAAAACAGTAATGAAATTCTAATTATCATTATTCCAAATTTTCAATTTATTATAAAACAATTAACCATTCCAATTCTACTAAAATATATAGCCATTCATATCATGTAGATCAGCGTTTTCCAAACTGTGAGGCGCGCCTCCCTGGGGAGGCGTGGACTAGTCTAATGGGAGGAGCGAATATTAGTACCAGTGAGCAATTTTCCAAATATCTGCTGAAGTATAAATACATTCTTGTGCTCTTATCCATATTGCTGTAATACGCGTTCAAAATTGATAAATTGAAATTAACATTTGATTGATTTACTCGAAAACTATAATAGATAGAATTAATCCAATATATGCATATGAAAGCTGAATGTTTGGGGATTCCAGCAAGTATAGATACATGCCTGTGCTCTTATCCATATTGCTGTAATACGCGTTCCTTTTATGAAATGGAGCGGTGTGGGGAGGCGCCAAATGATTACATACTTTTGAGGGAGGCGTAGTAACATCAAGTTTGGAAACCACTGATGTAGATTAATAGATTTAATTAACAAACTACATAAATAAACAATTTATATTTTTTTAGTACAATTTATTTGAATAGTTTATTACTTTAGGGACGGCGAACACATCAATCTCGAACAGTTGAATTTCGAATGTGACGCTAGACGAAAAGAAAACTTCATTTCGCCTTGATATATTATTAACACTTTTCATTCGGCCGAAAAGTTTCACTACACCACGCACCACTTGCCCAAATAAAATAACAAGTGTATGCATTTGACAACTTCAATAAGTATTTATAACCAGGGGTGATATTTCTGTGCGTACCGCACCAATTGTTATAATTTTCCGTACCTATTGTTGCGTAACATAGTAAAACAATCAAAATATTAATCTAATAAGTACAGTCCTTTAATAAAACTGAAAATAATATTCAATATTGAATATTATTTTATAAAATTCTTTGTTTATTACTTTTATTACCGTACTTGTTGTATATTATAACAAGAAGTTCACAATACACCAAAAAATATCAATGAAAATATTATTTGAAAATTATCTGATTAAGTACAATCCATCAATAAAACTGATAAGAAGATTAAATAGTGAATATTATTTACCTCCTATTTACTACCGTACCTGTTTTTTTTTCCTATTCTTTCTTGAGTCATTGACATCTTAACAAATTTAACTATCGTCCCTGCTTATGATCATTAGTACACCAACTTAATGTATGACATTTAACACAAATTATTACATTTCTTATTTTTTTTATTAATTACAAAACAATACATTTTTATAAGCAATGCTCCGCATACCAATACATAGATACACTGTAGTCCTAATTAATTAAACAATTAACACAATATATTAATTATTACACCAAGCACGACTTTTTTTATTAATTTTTATTTAAAAATAATTATTTTAGTTCTATTTCTACCACCCTTTAAGTCAATGTTTTTTTATTACCTACTACCCTAAAATATATTCTTTTACTACAGCATTACCCCATTTTTCATGGATACATAGATGATGAGCGACGGAGTGAATTCTAATATTTTTTTTATGGATACATAATTGCTGAATTATCCCTAAATATTCACGTTTCTCCTCGTATCAGATTTTGTTAACATAAATTATAAACGTATATTTTTTTTAAATTACAGACAATTTCCATCAAGAAATTCTATTTTCAAAATCTTATTAGCTTTTTCTTTTGTGATATAGAAATTTTAGCTCAAAATTATTTATAAAACATACAAATCAATCGAATCGTGGAATGTATTATGCAACTTTCTAAACATGCAGTATTAAAAATCTTCAAAAAACTACACTGCAAGTGATCCATAAAATTCTAAATTAATCTGAAGAGCTAATAAATTTTGTAATTATTTTAAAATAAATTGAGTACGAAACATTCCAATCATAACAAGAAGCATGATCTTTATAAACTGCAACCAGATTTAAATAAAAAAATTCAGAAAAATCGCACGTCATATTCATAATCACTTCCTTACATTGTCATTTATCTTCATTCACTAATGACATATAGAGCTGAAACTAAGTACAATAATTAATTGAGTTTTTTTTCACACTTTTGACCAGGCAATGTTAAATTATCGCAAACATTCAAATGGTAATGCTTCTCGCAATTGTGTATGGTTTTTATATGTACTTGCTGGCTTCTAGCCAAAAGAAGCCAAAGACGCCTACGTGGTAGTCAGTGTTATTATTACACTGCTACAACTGACTTTGTGCACTTTTTATTTGTAGATTTCACTTGTTGCTGAACAATTCACGTACTTTTTCTATGAGACGAATTTTTACAGAAAAAAAATATCTGTCTAAAAACGAAACTATACGTTTTATCAAAGACGTAAAATGCAGTTGTTATTGTTAGTAGCAACACATAAAGTTTTTAGTTTACCAAAAGTATAAAATTGTATGATTTTGACAATGATTTTCAATCGTTGTGCCGTGAAAAAAACATCAATTCAAGGAAGTTCAAAGAACAAGGGCTTAGGTTTTCTTCTGAAGTTTAATAATACGTTGAGACAAAACGGATTGAAGATAATTTGTATCATAGTATCATTCATTATTAATACGTCGTAGATATAATAATTGTAGGTTTTGAATTAAAGCCGGCTTTTAAAATCATTTATTGATGCTAATTATTTATTTTGTTTTAATTGTTTATAGACAGACATCAAATAAATTAATCATCAGATTATAAAGATAAAAACGAATGATCAATTAAGTAGATGTCTATAATGCTATTGTAATGTTTAATGCTAGAAAAATAAAAATAAATTAAAAGTTTTCTGTTGGTAATGAGTAATAGTGAGGAAGTAATCTTGGAATTCGAGAAGACAATCGAATTTGCTTATTTACACTTGTTTTTAAAGTGTACAACTTAAATCACAATCAGAATTGCAACAGCAAGATCTGGGGGAAAAAGAATCAACTGAACTCAAAATATATATAAAATAAATTTTATTATGTTTTAAAAATAAATGCACTTTGGAATCACAAAATATGATTTTCGGAATAAAATCATCGCTTATAAATATTAAAATTAAATTAAGAACAAGTACAATTTCGAATACTGATTAAATACAGGTCGTCAATTTATACAGATACATATATATCTCTCAATTGCATTCGATAATTCCCATTTACGTTGGTTCGTTCAAACGTGATGATTGTTGGTCATACGAGGCGGCGGAGTCGGTTTCCTCAGCTGTTTGCCTATAGTCTGCACGTGGAATCCGTATTCCAGAAGCTTCTCGTGATCAAGGATTTTCCTTCCGTCGAAAATGAACGCCGGTTTCATCATTCCATCGTATATCTTTTTGTAATCCAATACCTAAAATGAATACATTAATTAATACAATATTAATCCTGCAAAAGTCATCAATAATACAATAATATGTATCTTCAATATCAATTAAGCAATTGTTAGTTTATATAATTGCTTAAGAATACCAAAACTTACCATGAACTCATCCCATTCTGTGCATACAACGATTGCGTGTGTTCCTTTGGTTGCCGAATACGCATCGCCGCAAACCTTCACGGTTTTCCTGACCTGCTCCGGAGATTCGCATATGGACGGATGCGTGAGATCCTTAAAGATTTGGGACTCCTCCACCTTCGGATCATAGATATTCAAGGTGGCACCTTCGTCCAGAAGGGTTTTGGCCACATAAATGGCCGGACTCTCGCGAGTGTCTCCGGTGTTCTTCTTGAATGCGAAACCCAAGAGCGCGATATTCTTACCGCTGACGGTATTGAAGAGAGCTCGAACGACTTTGGCAGTGAACCTCGATTTCTGGTATTCGTTCATATCGATAACCTGCTGCCAGTATGCGGCCACCTCGGGCAGATTCAGGCATTCGCAGATGTACACCAGATCTAGGATGTCCTTTTGAAAACAGCTCCCACCGAAACCGATAATTAAAAAAAAGAGATAGAGGACATCAAATACTGATTGGATCTTCCGATGCCTCCGGAGAAATCCAGAATCAATGCGACGACGGTGTTAAATCCTTACCAATGGAAGCCTGCAGGAACTTCGAACCGATCCTCGAGTCCAGACCGACAGCTCGAGCCACCTCCGAAACGTCGGCTCCGGTAGCCTCGCAAACTGCTGACAAGGAATTGATGCTCGAAACACGCTGAGCCAACATCGCATTTGCAGCCTAAACAATCACAAAAGAGTAATTATTATATGTATTGTAGTTATTAATAGGTTTGTTGTTATTCCATTGTCACATAAAACTTCGCCTTGTGTAATATTTAGTACAAGATTTTCTAGAAAGTTTTATTCAAATAATTATTTTTCTTGAATTAATATAATTTAATAGTTTAATGGAAATCTTGTTGTTCCATCAAATTAAGGTGTCTATAATTGAGAAATGTTTCTTTAAACATACAATAAATTATTACAAGCCACACACGTTGCTTAACATCGAGATCATCCAAATTGGAATTAAAAATCAGTCACACGGATATTTATAATCCCTGTGTGGCAACTTTTATTATTGTCGAATCAAATGTTATTTTCGTACGATAAAAAAACATGTACTAAGTAAACACCCTAATCAAAATATTCAGTTAAGCAACAAAGCGAACCGAGATGATTGGAATAGATTTATCGTCCCAGGTATTTAACTGACGTCACGTTCTGCATTTACTTTGAACGTTATCAGACACAAAGCATTTCAATTTTGCATGCAAGAAATAATAATAAGCGAAACGCATAAAAGCGAAACCATTTATAGATAACTCACTAATTTTGATAATTCCGATGACCACGTATTTGTGGTTAAAATATTTTTTCTTGGGATCCAGTGTTCGTAGATCTTGCATAACTTCTCGATAGCTCCGCTATCTTCACCACCAATTAGAACGCGGTCAGCGTGAAGCAAATCATTGATTGCAGTACCTGTAATTGACAACAAAGAATCATGATCCATTTCAAATTGGTAATATAAGGAATTGCTAACCCTCAGCCAGGAACTCGGGATTCGAGAGAATGTGATAAGTTACTCCCGGTTTGTTGTTGGCATACAAGATGTTCTGGATGCTCTCGGCAGCCCTCACCGGCACCGTACTCTTTTCCACAACGATTTTATCGCTTTGCGCGATATCTGCAATCATTCGAGCGGCACCTTCAACGTACTTCAAATCTGCTGCCCGGCCCTAAATCA